CCACCCCTGACCCCACCCCCCACCCCGTAAACCCTAAACCCTAAACCCTAAACCCTAAACCCTAAACCCTAAACCCTAAACCCTCACGCGTGCACCACGGTGGCCAGCGCATGCACTGCTGCCAAAGCCAAGTCGTTTTGCTTTGCTGTAAAACATCTCCAAAATGCATCAATTACAAATTGCTGCAGAGAAACCCCGCAGCAGCGCGGGCTGCCAAACCCTAAACCCTTCTCAAACCCTAAACCCTTCTCAAACCCTAAACCCTTCTCAAACCCTAAACCCTCGCAGCACGGCGGAACCGCCCGGCACTCCGCCTCGCCCCGTCCACAAGAATCGGCACACGAAGGGGCCCCTTGGGGGCCCCCCTGGGGGCCCCCCTGGGGGCCCCCCTGGGGGCCCCCCTGGGGGCCCCCCTGGGGGGCCCCCTGGGGGGCCCCCCTGGGGGCCCCCATGGCGGGGGGCCCCCCCTTGAGGGGCCCCTCTGCGGCTGTGCTGCTCCCTTGGGGGCCCCCAGGGGCCCCTCCTGATGCTGCTGCTGTTGGTAAACTGCTGCTGCTGCTGCTGCTGCTGCTGCTGCTGCTGCTGCTGCTGGGGGCCTCCGGGGGCCCCTCTACTGTGCTGCTGCTTTTGGCAGAAAAGGCCTCCAAAGGGCCCCCTTGGGGGGCCCCTTGGGGGGCCCCTTGGGGGGCCCCCTGGGGGCCCCCTTGGGGGCCCCCCTGGGGGGCCCCTTGGGGGGGCCCCCTCTGGGGGGGCCCCCCTGTTGTATTTGAAGTTTCCATGAGGGGTTTGTGGTTTAGGGTTTGGAGTTGGGGGAGGAGATGTGGAAGTGGAGATGCGAGGGTTTAGGGTTTAGGGTTTAGGGTTTAGGGTTTAGAAGAGGTCAGTTGGGGTTAGTTGCTGCGGGAGAGAGGCTTTGGGCCTCTTGATGGCAAAAGAAACATCATGGCATCGTCCTGGATATTTAAACTTGCAAGAAACCCTAAACCCTAAACCCTAAACCCTAAACCCTAAACCCTTGCGCCACCCAGGGTCTTCTGAAGGCCGCATGAATGGCTAGGGTTTAGGGTTTAGGGTTTAGAAGACTGTGGTTTCAATGCCAGCTGGCCGGAACAGTTGTTGCTGCGTCGGTGTACAGAGGCGGAAGCCGGAAACCCTAAACCCTAAATTAGGGTTTGCTGGGGCATGGAGGGAGTTGTTAGAATTCGAAGAATCGTACTTAAGCTCCAAATTAAAATGAAATAGATGAAAAGAAAAGGAAATAGATGAAATACAGAGAAAAGCAAAACCCTAAACCCTAAACCCTAAACCCTCATCGAGCGCAGTGGCTGTTTCTGCAGGTGTACGTACACCTCAGTTGCTTTACTGGGACTCGCCAAACCCTAAACCCTAAACCCTAAATTCTAAACCCTAAACCCTAAACCCTAGCCGACCAAAAGGTGTAGCAGCAGCAGCAGAGTACAGCCAGCCGCTGGCATGCGTTAAAGCCCCGAAAGATGCTAGCTCACGACACGAAGAAACCCTAAACTCTAAACCCTAAACCCTAAACCCTAAACCCTAAACCCTAAACCCTAAACCCTAGGACATCGCGCCTAGACCCTATGTGCAGGCTTTCTTTTTACCTTTATGCCAGCCTCCACTGCAGCGAGGCCCTGGAGTTCGAGCATTTAGGGTTTAGGGTTTACTGCGAACGGCTACTTTTTAAGGGTTTAGGGTTTAGGGTTTAGGGTTTAGGGTTTGAATTGGGGTCATCAGCTTCCGTTGTTTATTTTTCTTCGCTCTTGCGCCCCTGCAGCAGCAGTTACGGAGACCCTAAACCCTAAACTCTAGGCCCCAAACCCTAGGCATTGAGCCCTAAACCCTAAACCCTAAACCCTAAACCCTAGACTGTAAACCCTAAACTCCAAACCCTAATGCTGCTGCAGCACGCGCAGCAATGCTGCTGCGGCGGCTCCTTGTCTCTTCTACGCAAAAGAGACAAAGCCATGGCAGCAGCAGCAGCAGCAGCAAGAGCAGCAGCAGCAAGAGCAGCAGCAGCAACAGCAGCAGCAGCAAGAGCCAAGGCAGCAGCAATGGGAGCGACAGCAGCCGCAGCAGCCGCAGCAGCAGCAGACGCAGCAGCAGCAGACGCAGCAGCAGCCGCAGCACCACCGGCAGCATCAGCAGCGAGATCCATGAGGACCAGCAGCAGCAGGTGCAGCAGCAGCAGCAGCAGCAGCAGTAGCGGAAGATTCTATGTGCAGCAGCAGCAGCAGCAGCAACAGCAGCAGCAGCAGCAGCGGCTGTATTCGAAGATGAGTCGAGGCGCACGCAAATCAGCTGGAAACCCCACAGAAGCAGCACCAGCAGCAGCAGCAGCAGCAGCAGCGCCAGCAGCAGCAGCAGCAGCAGCACCAAAAGGTTTTGGGCTGCTGCATCGTCCGCGCAGCAAAGCAGAGAAGCAGCAGCACCAGCAGCTGCTGCAGCTAGTGCCTCTAGACCTTGTTGGGGCTTATCAGGAAGCTGCTGCTGCTGCTTCTGCTGCTGCTGCTGCTGCTGCTGCTGCTGGCGTGCTGCAGCAGCTAGCGAAGGACGCGGAGCCGCCGAGAGGAGAAAAAGAAACAGTTGCTGCTGCTGCGCTGCAGCACGTGCTGCAGCTTAGACGGGCTCAGAAAGCAGCAGCAGCAGCAGCAGCAGCAGCAGCAGCAGCGCCAGCAGCAGCAGCAGCAGCGCCAGCAGTAGCTGCGGAGGCAGCAACTGAAGCGGCAGCAGCAGCAGCAGCAGCGGCGCTTTGGGAAGTGGACAAGAAGCTTGCTGCAGCAGAACTGCAGCAGCAGCTCACTGCAGCAGAAGCAGGTTTGCTGCTAGCTGCTAGGCAGGAGCTGCTGCAGCCAGCCCTAAAATTGTGGCTCGCAGCAGCAGCAGCAGCAGCAAAAGCAGCAACACCAGCAGCAGGTACAGCAACAGCAGCAGCAGCTGCTGCTGCGTCAGCAGCGCCAGAAAAAGCAACAGCAGCAGCAGCAGCAGCAGCAGAGGGTTCGTTAACTCCGGCGAAGCTGCCATCGCTGCAGCAGCTGCAGCAGCTGCAGCAGCTGCAGCAGCTGCAGCAGCTGCAGCAGCTGCAGCAGCTGCAGCAGCTGCAGACTTTTGCTGCTGTTGGATCTTCTTTGCTGCAGCGGCTGACAGTTCGGGGGCAGCAGTTTGCGGTGTATGGACACCTGGCAGCACTTAAGGAATTCAAACTGAGGGGAGAGTTGCTGCTGCTGCTGCAGCAAATCAGCAGAGAAGCAGCAGCAGCAGCAGCAGCAGCAGCAGCAGAGCCGGCAACAACGGCGGAAGCAGCAGCAGCAGGAGGGAACGGCCCAGTATCAGCCGCAGCGCCAGCAGCAGCAGCAGCAGCAGCAGCAGCAGAAGCAGCAGCAGCTGCGCTGTGCAAACTGGACCCACACTTGGTGGGGCGGCTGCTGCAGCAGCTGCAGCAAGCAGTGCAGCAGCAGCAGCAGCAGCAGCAGCAGCAAAAGAGACTCTCGTGCGACTGTCTCCTTTTAAGCAGGTGCTCGCAAGCAGCAACTGACCCCGCGCTGCTGCGGTTTGTTGCAGCAGCAGCAGCAAGAACAGCAGCAGCAGCAGCAGCAGCAGCAGCAGCCAGGCCAGCGGCGAATGCTGCCCCGGCGGACGCATGCGCGCGAGCAGGCCCCGCTGCAGCAGCAGCAGCAGCAGAACGAGCAGCAGCAGCAGCAGCAGCAGAACGAGCAGCAGCAGCAGCAGCAGCAGCAGCGCGAGCAGCAGCAGCAGCAGCAGCAAGCTCCTTCGTGCTGTCGGTGAGCGAGGCTGCATGCGCGGGGCTGCTGCCGGCGTGCTGCAGCAGCTTATTTTTGCTGCTGGTCAGTTTGTCCCGCTGCAGCTTATTTGCTGCTGCAGCAGCAGCAGCAGCAGCAAAAAGTCTTTTGCAAGAAACCCTCAAGTGCATCCCGCTCTACCCTCCCCCCATGCTGCTGGGGCTCGCTCGCGTTGCTGCTGCAGCAATCAGCAGCAGCAGCAGCAGCAGCAGCAGCAGCAGCAGCAGCAGCAGCAGCAGAGGGCACGCGCCTTCAGCGCAGCGCAGCAGCCGACTCACGCAGCAGCAGCAGCAGCAGCAGCAGCAGCCGTCCGCTGCTGCTGCTGCTGCTGCTGGAGGTTCTATTGGCGGAAAATTCCGAGGTCCCCCGGTGCAGCAGCAGCAGCAGCAGCAGCAGCAGCAGCAGGCTGCTGCTGCTGCTGCTGCTGCGGTGGGGGTCACTGCTTTGAAAGAAATTGGATTTGAAATAATTAAATTAATTCGAGACAAAAAAGTTAGTGTTTCTTTTTTAGCTGGGGTTTTCCAAACTTATGTGAAGTGCAGCGTTTTGCACAAACCCTTGATCTGCAAAATCGAACAAGTAAACCCTAAACCCTAAACCCTAAACCCTAAACCCTAAACCCTAAAGGGCGCTGCCCACACCCGGAGAGCCTCCTTGGCTAGTCCTCCCAGAAGCGACAGGAGATCATGCATATGGGGTTTTGGATTGCCTGCTAGGGTTTAGGGTTCAGGGTTTAGGGTTTAGGGTTTAGGGTTTAGGGTTTAGGGTTTAGGGTTTGCGCGCAGGCGCTGCTTGAGGGTTTAGGGCCCCCCGACGCAAAAGCCCTTTCTCTTTTTTGCCACGGGTTTATTTCTTTTCGTCTTTTGGAGTCTCCTGTTCTTCCTTTGCTTTTTCAAAAGGCGGAACTCGTAAACCCTAAACCCTAAACCCTAAACCCTAAACCCTAAACCCTAAACCCTAAACCCTACACGCGTCATCCGAAAGTCTGCAGTGGGCGCTGGCTTGGGGCTGCTGGACGCTCCCGCTGAAGTGTTGAGACTTACAGTTTAAGGTTCAGGGTTTAGGGTTTAGGGTTTAGGGTTTAGGGTTTATTGTTTGCAGGTACTGCACGAGGCGCCTTTTCAGTCCCTCGCATTGTTGTTACAGTCCATTACAAAGGTATCAAAACCCTAAACCCTAAACCCTAAACCCTAAACCCTAAACCCTAAACCCTAAACCCTAAACCCTAGTTTTCCGTTGGATGCACACTGGAGCATTCCCGAGTGTCCGCGGCTTAGTGTTTCCGGTGTAGGGCTTATTTTTCTGAGGGTTTAGGGTTTAGGGTTTAGGGTTTAGGGTTTAGGGTTTTGCGTTTCAGGGGGGTTTTGACTGCAGCAAAGGCTTAATGCTGAAGATATGTTTGGAGCTGCTGCAGCGGCTGCAGCAAAGACAGGGGGCCCCCCAACTGTACCCTCTTGAGGGGGGCCCCCAAGACCTGCCCTTTGGGGGCCCCCCAGAACTCCTCCAGGGGGGCCCCCTGTACCCTCGCAGCATCAGCATTATCTCCTATTCCATTTCCAAAACCCTTTCTCTACTTCTAAACCCTAAACCCTACCTCCACCCAAACACAGGGGCCCCCAACAAACCCCCTAAAGGCCCCTCTGGGGGCCCCTTTGGGGGCCCCCCTGGGGGCCCCCCCGGGGGCCCTTCTGGGGGCCCCCCTGGGGGCCCCCCTGGGGGCCCCCCTGGGGGCCCCCCTGGGGGCCCCCCTGGGGGCGTCTCTGGGGGCCCCTCTGGGGGCCCCCTTGGGGGGCCCCTGGGGGGCCCCCCTGGGGGGCCCCCCGGGGGGCCCCTTGGGGGCTGCTGGGGAGGGAATGGCGGGGGGGGGCCCCCGGGGGCCCCCCAGAAAGGAGAGGGTTTAGGGGTTTTATTTTTAGGGTTTGGAGGGTTTGGGGGTTTTGAGTTTTGTTGGATTTGGGAATTAATTTGGAGATTAGTTTTGGAAGCAACAAAAAGAAAAGAAGAAATGGAAGGGCCCGAGATGGCCAACATGAGTGCTGCTGCTGCTGCTTTCCTCAAGGCTGCGTGGCAGCAGCAGCAGCAGCTGCAGCAGCAGCAGCAGCTGCAGCAGCAGCTGCAGCAGCAGCAGCAGCTGCAGCAGCAGCAGCAGCTGCAGCGGCAGCTGCAGCAGGGGCCCCAGGCAGAGTTGGCTGTACAGCTCAAGTAAGTCGACGTTCCAAACCCTAAACCCTAAAACCTAAACCCTAGGCCCTGAAGCCCAAAGCGTGGAGGCTTCCGATCACGCGGGTCTGAAGCAAACCCTAAACCCTAAACCCTAAACCCTAAACCGGCGTTTTAGGGTTTTGAAATGTGCAGAATGGTGCTGGAGACAATCGATTTATATTTTGAGGGTTTGGAAGAGAGGTTAGGGAAAATGGCGGCGGAAGGGACTCGCATAGGAACAGCACAAGAAGTAAACCCTAAACCCTAAACCCTAAACCCTAAACCCTAAACCCTAAACCCTAAACCCTTAAGAAGACCTAAACAGGAAACCCCGCGGCCGGGCCGTAAACCCTGAACACAGAAGCCCAGTAAACCCTAAACCCTAAACCCTAAACCACTCTCCGCCGCTGGTACGGGGCTGCTCAGAGCTAGGGTTTAGGGTTTAGGGTTTAGGGTTTGTGCGCAGCTTGTAAAGATTATTGTTGCTTTCTCTGAACACCGGCAGCTAAGACAAAACCCTAAACCCCAAAACGCGTTTAGGGTTTTGAGGCTCCACGGGCCCCTCCTAGCAACCCTTTCTTACCAGCCCCTGAAGCAGCTCGTGAGGGTTTAGGGTTTAGGGTTTAGGGTTTAGGGTTTGTGTGCCGCTGCAGCTGCCGGGCTTTCTCTGCTTCCACAGCTTCTTTTTCTGCGGCTCTTTGACTGTCTGAATTATTTTCATTTTAATTTATTTTATTTATTTTAATTAATTAATTAATTAATTTTATTTATTTATTTTATTTATTTTATTTATTTTATTTATTTATTTATTTATTTAATTTATTTATTTATTTTCTGTCTCGCAGGTTTCTGCAGCGGCGTCGCTCGGCGTCGAAGATGAAGACATCGCGGCTCTTCTGGAAAGCCACAACAAACGAGGGTTTAGGGTTTAGGGGCCGTGAAGTTAGCTGTACAGTTTGCAGCAACGCAAAGGCACCCATTTACTTTCTTACATTTAAAGCGCAGCAGCAGCAGCAGCAGCAGCAGCAGCAGCAGCAGCAGCAGGTAGAAAACCCTAGAAGCAAACCCTAAAAGCTGCTTCAACTTAACAAAAGTTTTGGGGCCCCCCAAGATTCCCAAGGGGCCCTCAGGGGCCCCCAGGGGCCCCCTAGGGGGCCCATGGGGGCCCCCGGGGGGTCCCCAGGGGGCCCCCCTGGGGGGCCCTGCAAAGCGCCCAATGCCGCTGCGGGGCCCCTAAAGGCTCTGGGGGCCCTTAAAGTCCCTGAGACCCTCTTTTTGGGGGGGCCCAGGGGCCCTTAGGGGCCCCCTGGGGCCCCCGGGGGCCCCTGGGGGCCCCCAGGGGCCCCCTGGGTCCTGCAAGGTCCCAGGGGCCCCTGGAGGCCCTTATAGGGGCCCCCAAGATTAGAGGGGCCCCCGAAGTCCTGGGGGGCCCCCTAGGGCCCCTAGGGGGCCCCTTTTAGGGGACTCTAGGGGCCTCTAGAGGGGAATGGCCCCGGGGGGCCCCCCAGGGGGCCCCCCAGGCTGTTAGGGGGCCCCTGGAGACACTACTGCTGCAGCGCGAGACCCTTATTTGCTGCTGCTGCTTATCTTTAGGGTTTGGGAAGCAAAGCTAAGTGAGACACGGGAAGGGAGTTAGGGTTTGGGGCCCCCGGGAGGGCCTCGGGAGCGGGGCAAGGCGAGGGTTTAGGGTTTAGGGTTTAGGGTTTAGGGTTTAAGGGAGGCTGGGAAGCGAACAAGGGTTTAATGGCTGCTGCATGCAGCAGACCACCGGTCTGCTAGCTCTAACCAAAGCCCCAGCAGCAGCAGCAGCAGGAGCAGCTGCAGCAGAAGCTGCAGCAGCAGCAGCAGCAGCAGCAGCAGCAGCCGCAGGGCCACCAGAGCAGCTGCTTCTGTGAGTTTTTCATTTTTCCGTTTTGTTTGCTCTGCAGATCGCTGCTTCGTCGCCCCAAACCCTAAACCCTAAACCCTAAACCCTAAATCAGCGAATTCGCCTTCGTTTGGCGCCTGCTCAAGCGGGGTTTCCCCCGTCCGGGACCCTGGCCATTGTAGCTCCTTTAATTAGTTCTGAATTCATTTAATTATTAATTAATTAATTAATTAATTAATTAATTAATTAATTAATTAATTAATTAATTAATTAATTAAGTTTTTATCTTCGCGTTTAATCCCCTCCAGCAGGCGCCGCCGCGCAGGGGCCCCTGGCCTGCGCAGCAAATCAACCACAATGCAGCAGCAGCAGCAGCAGCAGCAGCAGCAGCAGCAGCAGTTTATTTAAATGGTTTTCTGCTGCTGCTTCAGTGTACAGACACCCCGCATCCGACAGGAGGCCCTCCGCCCTGCAGCCCTAGGGTTTAGGGTTTGTGGCCCGGGCTCCAGGGCTTATCGTCAAGGGTTTTGAGGGTTTAGGGTTTAGGGTTTAGGGTTTAGGGTTTGCGATGGGGTGCACGCATTCTTCTCGGCGGGGCGGCGTGCCCTTCTCCAGCAGCTCGAGTGCATGCAGCAGGAGCTTCAAATATGAAAAGCAGCAGCAGCAGCAGCAGCAGCAGCAGCAGCAGGCGAAGGAACCGCAGCAGCAACAGCTGCAGCAGCAGCTGCTGCAGCAGCAGCTGCTGCAGCAGCAGAGGCAGCAGCAGCTGCCGCAGTGGAGATCCCAGCAGCAGCTGCAGCAGCAGCAGCAGCAGCAGCAGCACTGGCAGCAGCAGGGAAGGCCCAAAAGCATACAGCTAAGGCGGGGCCGCTCTTTGCTGCAGAGCAGCCCCAGGGTTAGAAGACCTGCTGCTGCTGCTGCTGCTTTTGCTGCTGCTGCTCCTGCCTGTGCTTCTGCTGCTGCTGCTGCTCCTTTTGCTGCTGCCAGCAGCAGCAGCAACAGGAAGGCTCACAGCTGCTGCTCCCCGCAACTCGACTCCCTCAACTCCTCCAGCGACGCGGTAAACCCTAAACCCTAAACCCTAAACCCTAAACCCTAAACCCTTGACGCTAAACCCTAAACCCTTTAAGCATCTCTGTGGACTACTTCATTCACTAGAGGTGCCGAAGCAGTACTTGTGTTGCGGGTTTAGAGCGCAGGCTCGGGCGTCTAGGGTTTAGGGTTTAGGGTTTAGGGTTTAGAGTTTAGGGTTTAGGGTTTAGGATTCAGGGTTTAGGGTTTAGTGTTTAGAAGCGCTGGTTCCAGGCGAAGCGCCCCCCTTCCAGGTGCCCTCAAACACACTCCAGGGTTCACGGCCCAAAGCGGCAGTGGTCAGCTTAGGGTTTAGGGTTTAGGGTTTAGGGTTTAGGGTTTAGGGTTTAGGGTTTAGGGTTTGCGGTTTAGGGTTTAGGGTTTAGGGTTTAGGGTTTAGGGTTTAGGGTTTAGGGTTTAGGGTTTAGGGTTTTGTTTTAGGGTTTAGGGTTTAGGGTTTAGGGTTTAGGGTTTAGGGTTTAGGGTTTAGGGTTTAGGGTTTAGGTTTAGGGTTTAGGGTTTAGGGTTTAGGGTTTAGGGTTTAGGGTTTAGGGTTTAGGGTTTAGGGTTTGGTGCAGGGTTCGGAGGCGTCTGCGGGCTGCCCGCTGTTTTTGTCTCTTTACCGCCAGCCCCTTTTCTCTTCGAGGTTAAAAACAAATGCGAACTTCGACGACTTTTACAAACTCACCAACCACGTCCTCGGAACAGGTTTGCTGCTGCTGCTGCTGCTGCTGCTGCTGCTGCTGCTGCTGCTGCTGCTGCTGCTGCTGC